TTCAGACCCGTAGATTGCGAGTATTTCGTATGGGTAGTGGGGTCGCATTCCACGTACGGGTTGAATCCCATCCTAACCAAAGAGAATATTAGAACACCAATGACCAACAATTGTCCTCAAATAACGCTTACCATTCAGCGCGCGTGTTCTCGTCGTCGTCTACCCGACAGTCGTAGTACGAAATCCACTGCTCACGAGGAGGGATGTCTGCGATATCGAGACCAAGTGGAACCTGACGCACAGATCTTGTGCAGCTAGCTGCATAACTCCTCATATCACGTAAAAACGCTTTAACACACGGAGCAGTCGTGGTTCCATCGGCGCCATTCTCGACTTGGAGGTTATTTTCATTGCCAACGCTGAATCCGAGTGTGTTATCATAGACTGCAAAAGCGTTATAAACCATTTGACCGCGCGTGAACAGGTCGTCAGGGTAGCATTTAGGCGGTACGTAGTCCAAGATGGAGCAGTTTTCGCATCTGTGAAACGGTAACAACGTTAAAACTCGATTTTAACATCAATAGAACCGCTCTACTTACGGGGCTGTGAGACCAACCAGCACATAAATACCTGCTTCCGAGCATGCACACATGAACTTGTCATGCGATAGACTCGGATCAATCGAGTACAAACGAATCGTGTTGACACCGAGGTCCTTCATCACCTCTAAGTGTGGTTTCCATACAGCTTCATGTTCATCCGCAGCCCAGTCGTAATTGCTGACATCGGCCATTTCTCCACTGTTGGGTCGGGGGTAGTAGGCCATTCCTTTCAGTCGGAATTCAAGTCCCGACTCCGAATCAAAGAACTTGTTACCCTTGGTGATGATCGGAGGAAGCCACGCATCAACCGGAGAGCCAACACTGGCAATATACAGCGCAAGAGCACCACAAACAGCACAGATACGAGAGCTATACGCCATCTCGGTAACTTTAACACTGAAGGAAAGCCAAGTTGTTATCATTTCCGGAAAGGCTCTTAGAAAGGGACAGGCGATGGTATCAGACTTTTAGTTACTGACGTTTTTGTTTAATTGTACACTTTAGCACGTTGTTTCAACCACGTTATGCACATTAATGGACGACTTCCGCTTAACGAAAGGCTCTCGCGTACCAGTCCGAAGGCTCTAGAAGACGGACAGGGCAGTGGCGGCAACCGTGGCCACGGACAAGACGAGTGCTGCGGCTGAAGCCGTCGCGCTAGCGCCGCTGCTTCCCGCCGTGGCGTCCGTGACGGCGGCAGCGGTGTCAGCGTTCTCTTCGTTCGACGGTTTCCGCTTCTCACCTACAGCGGTGCTGGGTGAGAAGTGCTCGTAGCTGTTGGCCTTCACGCCGTTGCACACTGGCTGCGTGATCGTGCACTCGAGAACGGGGACCTTGGGCGTGGGCGGCAGTTCGCTCGAGATGTTCTTGGGGCACGACAGGATAGTGTCACGCGTAGGCTCGTAGCTGTCGTGCTCAACCGTCGAGTTCTTGGTGCTCGTGTACGCCTTCTTGAGGTTGTCGTACTCCGGGTAGGGCGTGAAGACGCACTCGGTGAGCTCGTTGTCGCAGTCTTTCGGCAGGAAGTAGCCAACACCGTACTTACCAGCGTCTCCCGTCTTGGTAAGAGCTGTGCGTACAACAAATATATGTTAACTCACCGTCGTACAACATTTACAACAATACATGTAACACTTACTCTTGCTCTCAACCAAGTTGGCAATCTCCGTGGTGAACTCGAACACGTTACCGCCGACAATCTCGTCGGTCATTTCCTTCTCCTCGTTCATCCACTGAGCCTGTCGGTCGTACATAAAAATCAGTACTCACACAATTTTTACCAATACAACCAACACACATTGTACGTACATCGAGGAACGAGCGCTGGTTCTCGTAGCCGTCGATCGTGTTGACTCCCTTGTTGCAACCGAACTCGCCGAACATCAGCGGACGAGCGTAGCCCACCTTGGCGTACTCCGACATGAGCTTCTTAAGTCCCGTCGACTGCGAGTACTTGAGGTGAGTGGCGGGGTCACACTCGACGTACGGGTTGAATCCCATCCACTCGGCGCGCGTGTTCTCATCATCGTCGATAGCGCAGTCGTAGTACGAGATCCACTGCTCACGAGGAGGAATATCGGCGATGTCCAGGCCAATCGGCACCTGACGCACCGAGCCCGAGCAGCTCGCAGCGTAACTACGAGTGTCACGCAGGAAGGCCTTGACACACGGGGCTGTGGTCGTACCGTGAGCGCCATTCTCGACCTGCAGGTTGTTCTCGTTACCGACACTGAAGCCAAGGGTGTTGTCGTACACAGCGAACGCGTTGTACACCATCTGCGCACGAGTGAACAGGTCCTTCGGGTAGCATTTGGGCGGCACGTAGTCTAGCACCGAGCAGTTCTCGCATCTAGAAAATGTACCACAGTAAGTACAATACTCACAAAAAATGAACTCAGAAAATGTACTCACGGAGCTGTAATGCCTACAAGCACGTAGATGCCTGCGTTTGAGCATGCGCACATGAACTTGTCGTGCGTTTTGCTCGGGTCCACCGAGTACAGACGAATCGTGTTGACACCAAGGTCCTTCATCACCTCCAGGTGAGGTTTCCACACAGCCTCGTGCTCATCCGCTGCCCAGTCGTAGTTACTGACCTCGGCCATTTCTCCACTGTTGGGTCGGGGGTAGTAGGCCATTCCCTTCATGCGGAACTCGAGTCCAGTCTTGGAATCGAAGAACTTGTTGCCTTTGGTGATGATCGGAGGGACCCACGCATCAGTGGGGGAGACGGCGATGGCAGTGCACAGAGCAGCAGCGACGCAAAGGCCGCGGACACGAGAACCGAAAGCCATTACTAGTGTTGAGTTGGAAGAGAGAGGTATGTACTGAGGTCCAGAGGAAGTCAGTATCCGGTAGCTTCTCGTCACGGTCGAGCAGCAAAATGGAGAATGAACTGGTGAACTGTGTGGGAGAGCTCTATCATATGAAACTGAGGTCAGGATTTGAATTCAGTTGCACTCTGTACGCACAGGCGAAATTGTGGGAAGCCTGGATATTTCGTTCGGTTGCACGCTACGTTTTGCTGTTTGTGAGACCGATTAATCCCATCTGACCGACATAACCTGGTCATCACTTTCGCGTGTAGACGACGTCTGGGAATTGAGACTCGAGCGAAGCCAGGTCTCCGTATAGTGACAGTATCAATAGAGAGCGCCACACGTAGAGACTGACCTCGTCTTGTCGCTCTTTATTTACAACGTTGACACGGAACCGCATCCTTGTCGGACAAATTCGACTCGTCGTCCTCGAAGTGACACCGGCAAATAATCCGAGGCACGCACGAATCAGACTCTTGCCACTGGCACCACATTCAACCAGGGCCGACGTACATGTACAGGAATCTCACCGAGATTGTAAATGTTGCCAATTACATTCTGAGAAATTGGTAGCTGGATGGGGCGTCCAGTAATATGTGATTGCAAACACGTTTGCTGCTGTACAGGCATTCACCTGTACATGTAAGTAGTTTTAGCGACGTCAACTACCCGTACCAGTACGATAATGGACAAGTGCGGACAAGGCCAGCTAATTTGTGCTGATGATATAAGATTGCTCTGACGAGGTCATCTTAGTGCAGGTGAGGTAATTCGTCCCATACGGTGATCTTGGCAGTCGAACAAAACGTATAAACCGAAAAGCGAGTTCATTATGTAAAAAAAAAAGCGCCACCTTACGAGTCGACCCACTGAGTGATACCAGAGCAGGGCTTCCTAATAGCTCAAAGTGTACTGGTCAAGGTACTCGCCAGGGACAATGTTGGACTCAGGATTGATGCGAGCACGACGGAATACCCGTGACACGTCCTCCAAGTTCCCCAGCAATTGAAGCAATGGCGACACCATGTCAGCTTGAGTGATCAGACCCATAACACGGTTGCTGGTACCATCCCAGTTGAAGTGCACCGAGCCGCGCATGACAAGACGCTGATTTACCAGTCTGCCAGCAATGCGAGACCACTCTCTCTCCTTGTCGTAGTCGAAATCATCACTCATCAGATGAGGGAATATCTTGGTCAGTGAGTTTCTGGTGATAGTGATACTTGTCGTAGTCGTAGCAACAAGCGAGTTTTCCGCGACCTGGTCTAACCGATCGAGACGAATCTGAACGTCCCGGAAGTACTGCGTGTAGACGGCCCAGTTCCTCGCCAGCGCATCCACCCCGAGCACCATTCCAGCATCTAAATCCCGCGCCATCACGGCTTTCAGGAAGTCCATTCCGACAATTCGCTCTCCTCTCGTAATTAGCAGCCCACATCGGAAGACACGGAAGTACTCCACCGCGACGGACCAAACGGTGTCCTTTGTTGGGACCCCGAGCATGAGAACCTGATGTTTCCGATTTAACTGGCCAATCTCCTGCTGTAGCTCGTGTTTTCTGGCCTCTAAGTCCACGACCAACTGGCGTTGCCGTTCCCTGTAGCGCTCTTGGTTCCTTCGACGACGTTGCCGATGATATTCTTCAATATTGGCTTTCATTTCGTCAGCGTATGGAAGCTTCGCGGGTGGTTGCTTAGGCGATGAACGCACGGAACGAGAGGAGCCGCTCTTGATCCTTGGTCTCCCTCGCTTAGCGGTTGGTGCTCGAGTAGATCCTTGTGGTGTGGGGTCATGCTGTTGACCCATGGAGAAGAGTTGAGGACCTAACGCGTTGTGAAGACGATGCTCTGGTCGCGAATGCTGCTGCAATACGCTCCCAATGACATTTTTACTGAGCGTGTGCAGGTTGGGCGGGTGAAGAGAGTTCGCTTGCATGGCGAGTCGAATGGAAATTGCGAAATGTTTTGTCCCGGGGGCGTCCGAGTTGGTTTTTAGCTGAGTCCCAGTCGTAATCAAAGAGGCTGGGGCACCTATTCATCAACGTGAGTGATCCATCCAAGCCATGGCCAACGGCCCACTTTACGGAAGCAGCAGGAACGAACACCATTCCAAACCAAGAAACTACATGTTACAAGTAGAATCAACATTCGTATAGAGCGAAGGACATCATCAGCTCTATTGCTCAAATATTGCGATCATCACCAGTATCTTGCAGCATTACCTAAAACAATGACCATTCATTTTTCAATGGTGGTGTACAAGTTGTGTGGATCAACACTTTGGCGCGAAATCGTTGGATCTTCACGTGAGTGCCGCACTAAGCTGAGTTTTATTTTATACGCAGATATGTATGAGAGCGTGAAGACTCAAGACTTCATATGAACTAATGAATTTAGCTTTGTGAGCTTAGCGACTACCATCAATTAATCCATGCACATACAAAGGTAGCGGTAGTGAAGGCATTGCAACGTCTTCTTGTCGAGATGTCCAAGCGGCTCGGCCCCGCAGAACATTTCAAACGCGAGTAGAACGTAAATGCCACAGTTGTAGCTGTCCACTTGGACTTCTAGGCCAGGCTCGAAAGTTTGCATTCGTGGTCTCGGTCTCGCGTCGTTTGGGAGCAGCGAAATCAGCATCTGGGCGACGGAACGAACACTGATTAAGTAGGATGACGAGCTGGAATCGTAGATCGCCACCTTGCCTTCGTTGAGGTTCATCATGTCTGCGCACCAATGTTTCCTGTTGCAGTTCACAGGAAAAAGCACAGTTTCTTTCGTTAGATCCGATAGTTTGCTGCGGAGATCTTCTTCCCACATACGTTAGGATCGCCTCCAAATTTCTTCAACAGCACCAGGTGCATTATATCTTCCCTTAAGCACTCTTTCGCAGTCAAACCCAGCACGCGTGACTGTTGATCCAATACAAAACACATATCAGCGCAATTATCTCAACAATATAGCACAACTTTTCCGAAGACGTCGTGTGCGATTACCCAAAATACCTTGTACTTGGACGCGTTTGTACCGTGCGTCGCGTCGATCATGAACACCTCGGGGAAACGGTCAAACAGCGAGCGCATGTGCCCAGTCTGCAAAGTAATGCAAGTGGCGATTATCTACAAAATATTACAAATTAGATCTGCAGTAACATAGCACAAAGATAACTAATCACACCTTGTCTCACACCTAATCAACAAAGATTCCACCCACGTTTCCAGGCTCTCCACAAAATTCAACCATCCACTTCTTCAGCCTTTTCGCGCTAGTGGGGGCGGTGCCCTCCTCCTTTTCAATCTCTGCACCATATTGTGCACGTCCTGTGTTAACGGATTGCACTCAGAGTTTTCTTGAATGTACTTGAGGATGCGTTTCTTCTTTGCGCCAGCTTTCCGGAGCTCATTCACCTTGGTCACCACTTCTGGCTCGAGTGCAGCGCGCACATGTGGACTGATTGTACGTGCGTTTGTCCAAATGATGATTGTGAACCAAGCGTGCAGAGGTAATCCGAAGAATAAAGCTGGGTACTTTATCATCACCAACTTGAACACAGTCATTTATCTGTAAGAAGAACAAAAGCAAACACCCAATTACACCCAGTTAGTCACAACTCAAACGACTCGTACCCAAACTGCCCAACCAAATACAATATCACCCAACTGATACGAACTGGGCAAACAACATACCTGTGCCTCACACTCCATCGCTCGAGACTGGATCCTCTTTCTCTTCCCCTTTCCACGCCACTTGTACGTCCCCCCGTGTGTGCACATGTCTTGCCGTAGTTCTCCCCATTCATCCGGAAGCAATGGCTGCTTAAAATCCCGACGACCGGATCTTGTTGTTGCGTGTTGTGATAGTGTTATTCGTTCTAACACGGAAGCTCTGCAGACCCGACAAATGACAGTATTGCACAGACGGTTAGTATATCAGCACAAAATGACCAAGCAAAGTGGCTATACCTGGTACGTGCGTTTTGAGTACTCCCCCAGATAGCGTTCAAGATCCTCCCATGACTCGAACTCGCATTGAGCCAAGGGGGACCCATGCACTTGGAGCGCGTGACCGTCCTCCGATCCTTCTCGAGTGCTCCGAGGATGTACCAATCCTCCTGACCGTTGTTGCTTGGACTGACCGCTGGTGTTACTGTCGGTCTCGGTGGAGGAATCC